GATTTTGAATCGCTGCAAAACATTCAATTCCGTGATCTTCAGAGACAAAATTGAGTATGTTGGCCTCTAGGACTCTAATAAAATGCAAGTAGTTTAGGCTCTATCAAGATTTTTCTTAATCAAGTGTTGTAAGCTATCTTGGAGTCTTAGCTGGGGGCTAAGTTTTCTCATTGTACAGTTTCTAGAGTAAATTTTCTCTGGTTGACTCTGATGCCTTAGCTTATTTCTTATTCCATAATTTACAATATTATTCTTTTTGGTTATTTTTGTTTCTTTTTTGTGAAACTATAAACTGAATGTACATGTAACATGAATATAATTTCTTATAATTTAATCAGAGATCTCTCAAGATTCTCTCCATTTTTGTCCTCCCATGTTTCTTGGCTGAGAGCGCATACAAAATATGGTGGTATGCGTCTGGTGCATCACGAATCCCCTTCTTGGGCAACGTCTACCTGAGTGACACAGTAGCATGCATAATGGAGCTCCTCTCCTGGCTCTACCGGACAACAGTGATTTTCCTAGTCTGCATTCTCTTCCATCTGATCTGCCACCTCCATATCCTACGGCTGCAAGACTATGCTCTGGTTTTCCAGATTGATTCTGATGTGGGTTCGGTCTTGGCTGAGCACCTCAGGATCAGGAGGCACCTCAGGATCATAAGCCATCGGTACCGCGCCTTCATACTATGCGTGCTGGTCCTAGTCACAGGCACCCAATTTGCTGCGTTGCTTGTCACTACAAAATCTCATGATGTCAATATTTACAGAGCTGGAGAACTTGCAGTAAGTCTTTTTCTATATAGAATTCTATATAGAACCGAAATAAATTTATTTATGGCATAAATTTTATGCAGCTCTGCTCGGTAACTGTTGTGACTGCATTGCTCATAATCTTGCGGAGCGCAACCAAGATCACTCACAAGGCACAAGCAGTCACTTGCCTAGCGGCAAAGTGGCACGTCTGTGCGACGCTGGATTCGTTTGAGACAGCTGATGGAGAGACGCCGAGGGTTGATGTGGAGGGTGGGCCACAAATATTTCCTGTGGGTGACGAAGGAGAATCAGAGGACACAGAAGATGTGGGAGACGAAGAAGATGATTTGGACAATAACAAGTGGATCCCTGCGTATGCTTATAGTACCATTTCCTACCAAAAGAGACAGGCTTTAGGTAATTATCTCACTCCACCCAAATTTATATGTCATCCCCTCTCCATGTATTATATATGTATATCTAGTCAAAAGGATCTGCTATTTTCTTTTTTGTGGGAGATAATGATGTTAATTTTCTGTAATTACATGACAGTGACATATTTTGAGAATAACAGAGCAGGGATTACAGTGTTTGGATTTACCCTTGATCGGAGTACCCTCCACACTCTTTTTGGTATTGAGTTATCGCTTGTTCTTTGGTTGCTTGGTAAAACGGTGGGGATTTCTTGAAACATTACTTTCTGGGCATTTGGAAAAAGTTGGATGGTGGCGGGTGTATGTATAGATTTTTGTAGAGCATTCCAAATTTCTTTCTCTTCTTCTTCTTCTTAAAAAAATCAAACCTTTGATGTTTTTGTAAAACCATCCATACTTTGTACTCTTGTTTGTCTGATATTACCACTTAGAAGTATATATCATTATTTTGTCATTGTTATGGGTGTTCATGAAAATTATGTCATTGTATATTTTTGAGATTGTGATAATAATTATCCTGTAATTTTTATTAAAATAAATTATTTATATTTTAATACTTTTATTAACAATATATATTTTTTAAGACTGACGGAATTAGTGGTAAATAACAAAAATAATATGTAATTTTAGGCATATTAAAGTTCAAATTAATTTTGTCCA